TCAATCGCTTAGGTCTTACATGACCATTGATCCTATACGTGATCTTTCAGACGCTTGATTGGTCCTGCGAACGTACGGTTTTAAGCTATTTCTAATTTAGTACCCATCATTTATTTTTCTTATTTGCTTCATCCAAAGTGCTGTGAATGTCATTTGGGCATAAAAGTAACCTCTTCTATCTTTACCTTTCCAAACTACCCATAAACCCACTCCCAATCCTTTCATATTTTAACCTATGCACATATATAGGTATATCACCGCTGATTATACGCTTATTTATCCGCAATCCTCCGCTCATGCATTACGATATTATCCTCACTTTATCTTATCCCTTGACTTCCTTCTAGATGGAGCGAGATCTGTCTCAGTACCATGCTCCCCTGCCCGAGGTTGCACATTGTGTAATTGGTTTGGAGACCTGTGGTGTTCATGATAAACACTTCGTCACAGCCTGTTTGCTTAACTCATTGCTTGGAGGTGGAGGTTCTTTCTCTGTTGGCGGCCCCGGAAAAGGAATGCACACTCGACTCTACTCAAACGTTCTCAATGAGTCAGTAAATACGATTGAACACAGCTTTAATTTTATTTCTATGCCTTAGACGGTTTTCTAATGCACCCGATGTAATTCGCCTCCTTCGCATTTAAATATTCCAGAAATAATGTATTTTAATCAATACATGAGCTTTGGGGGATGAAATAATTGAGGTTAACGTATAGCTCACCAGTACTTTAATCAGATAAAAAAATTTGAACAAAATTGTCTTCAGTGTTTGACTCTTACTCGATGCATTCTAATACCAAAATTTAGTCTGCTGTTTACGCTTTCTGGCATAGTTGCTCCTTTATTTAGTTTTAGCCCAATCTAGTCATCATCTGGCGGCTCTTATCTGTGTAACTATTCAATATATATTGCCCGGCTCACTGCATCATGTTCTGCTGAATTTTCTATGGTTACTGTAATTGCTTAAATAATTTCCAACTGGTTGACTTACTAAGATTGCTTCCGTA